GCTGTGGATGTGTCTTTGTGGCTGTGTGTTGTGGTTGTGGGCTGTGGCTGTGTGCTGTGGCTGTGTGCTGTGGCTATATGTTGTGGCTGTGTGCTGTACTGTGGCTGTGTGTTGTGGATGTGTCTTTGTGTGGCTGTCTGTTGTGGCTGTGTGCTTGTAGATTGTGTTTGTGATTGTGTGTTTGTGGCTGCGTGTTTATGGCTGTGTGCTTGTGATTGTGTGTTTGTGACCGTGCTTGTGGTTGTGCTTGTGATCTGGCAGCTACTATTCCGCTCGGCGTTCTAAGCGCAACGAATCTGCAGGTGGTGAGAGGTAGTGAGGTGAGAGGTGATTGGTTGGGCGATGAAGGAAGATCACCCAGCTCGAGATCTCGAGGTTTGCACAAATGCAAAGCCGCAAAGGCAAAGGACAAGCGATCCGGGAAGGCCAGAGATGCTTCACCTGCAAAGGCCCATGGGCAGGCATCAGCTAAAGCGTTCTGTGCCATTGTTCATGGCCAACTCCTAAACTCGATCAGTTCGTTCTGTTTTCTATGCGCTGTTGTAGATGCCAAATGAGTGGTTGAAGAAGGGCAGCAGTGCTTCTTTAACCCGTGTGTTTCCCCTTCTGACTCATATAGTCTAGTGAAAGGATTGCTTTCTTGGCTCCTTTCGTTCTTTAGCCAGCCACTTCCATCAGTTTTGTTGCGAGTGCCGTGGGCTAGGATCTGTCAGGCTTTTGAGAAGAAACAGGAGCGGCGCGCTTTGTTTTGTTGTATATATACTTGTGCGCTGGTGGGCTGGAATTACGTATTTTGCTTGGGAAAGTTGGCCGTGGACATGAAACATTGAAGATCTCAAACAAAGAAGCTTGGTGCGCCTGGTAGAGTCCTTAAAAACACCAACCAGAAACCACGACAACAGCAGATACAAATTGCACCACGTATTGTATTAAAAATTGAGGCTTACCCGATCAAAAATGTAAAAGATCGATACTTTAACGCATTTACCGCGTGGGTGATCCGGGAAGAAAGGTAACAAGATAAACATGTTGAATTCGCGCGGGTGGTGAAGGAAAAGGTGGGCGACCCCCCGCCAAAAAAACTGTAGCAAATCGGGTTTTAGCCGTTTTTACTGCATGTGAGCTTCAAAACATATGGCGGCCCCTCCCGGGAATAACGGTAAAAACAATAACGACTTCACCGTTTTTACCGCGCGTGTGGTAGAATGAAATGGGCGTCCCCCCAGGAAAAACGGCAAATCAATGTTTAGCGTTTTTACGGCACATGCGCCCGTAGTTGCAGCAACACCCCTAAACCAGCACAGGCTATTCGGGTAGTCCTTCCACGAACGAATTTGGGGTCCCGAAAACGATGTGTTTCTGTGAAAATCTGAAGGCACAGGCGTTCGCTCGACTGGGTTCAAGCCTAGAACTCGTGACTTGAAATGGAGGTTTCCTGTCCGCCGAAAAGGGGGTCTGGTGTTTGCTACGGGCTTTGCGGCTTTCTCACTATGTTTCTTTCAATTTTGTTCGCAGAGACTCCCTTGCCTACCCATGTGACCTACCTTTCGTTTGACAGGCCGCAGACAAGGATGAGGCTGCCATTCAGGCAGATGTCGAGGAGCGAAAAGAGCCTACACTGCAGGGGCCGCAGGAGCTGCAAGAGCCTACAGCTGGGCCAGCCAAGCTGGAACCAGCGCAGGCAGCCAAGCCGGATGCCAAATCAAAACAGGTCAAAAAATGCTGTCCATTTTGAGGGTGGTTTGCAACTGCTTGCAGGAGCGTGTTCTGCACCATCCAAGTTTCAACCGAATGGTTGAATGTTTTCCATTTAGACCCTGTATCATTCAGGCTGGCATGCATTCACATTGCATTGCAAAATTGCGGGAGAAGAACACATTACGATGGTATGAATGGTATGGGCAATGATACGGGTGCTCGCAATAAACCCAATTCGGCTAGTGCTTGCGGCGTAGACGCAAGAGCAGCTACTGCTTTGGCCGAAGTGCCAGCAGAAAAGAGTCGAAGTGCCTAAGAATTACAGTAAGCCATACCTTGTGAAGCGGAGAGAGAGAGAGAGAGAGAGTGCCGGCCGTGCCTGGTTCGAGGTGGGAGATTGGAGACCTCAAGTGGCGTCACTGCTGGTAGACTTTGGTCCAGGCTAAGTGCACCAGCAATTGAAAACAGGTCTTGAGAGGGTCTTCAGGATTCAACAGGATTCAAGACGTTCTGAAAGCAAAGTTGCTAAAATCGGGCACCGGAGATTCTCAGGTACCGACAGAGTGGATCAAGCAGAAGAGTTGGCACCTCACTTTTTCCGTCCAAATTTCACATAATCCATTCAGAGAGTTACTCACATGTGACATATCTTTTGATGACAATGGTTCTGTTTTGATTGCGCTTTGGGGTTTTGCCTTCATATTGTATCTTCATTTGTGGTTGTGTTGTGATGCTGCGATTTGTTGCTGTGAGGTTCTTCGCAGAGCTTGCAAGACTTCCATCAGGCGCTTCGGTCAAACTCTTTCGTTTCAATTGTCATTTTTGCGCTGATCCGTAGGCTTGAAGATCTTAACACGTGCCTTGAAGGCAGACCTTAGCTTGACAAAACAGCAAAATGGCCCTAGTCGTTCCTGTTCATTCCTTTCAGATAGCCAGGCTTGGAACGTTCAATGTGCTGAACAGCTCAGCAAAGAGGTGCCATCAAATAAGCATGGGACAGTAGCCACAGCAGACGAAGAGCAGAAAGGATGAGAAATGGAAGTTGGGAAGCGGGAGACTAAATGAAAAGTGACAAAAAGGATCAAAGACACGTCGAAACGACAGAATGCTACTATGCTCACCCTAGGCCTGTGACCTAACTACCCCTGAGAAACAAAGACCCAATCGTGGACATATATAATATATTTATATACATATATAGATATATATATATATACATGGATTTCTTTGGTATATGTATATCCCGCCGGGTGTGGAATCGCACGTGTAGCCGTGCAAATTTTGATTCAAAAGTGCAAACCCTCTCAGTACTTTTGCTTGTTCGATGATGTTTTTTGGGGGTCCCGGATCCTTTCATTTTTAAAGCCGAATCTGCCGAAACCCAAGCGCCAGCGCAAAATCCGTCATCGTTTTTGTCCCGGGCACTTGCTCCGCTGCGGAATGCGGCAAAGACACGGACACAAATAAACTTGTAAGCTTCCAACATGTATTACGCTCGCCCCGTGTGATATGCAGTTGTACGTGTGTTCGACAGAGAAACGAACATCGATAAAATCGATGACAATGTTATGAAAATGATGACAATCTTATGCAACCGACGATATATAATGTTGTGAAACCCATGACAGTGCTATGAAACCGAAGATTACTTGTCGTGAAATCGATGACAATGTTCTCAGCATGACATCCACATCCTCATTCCATCACAACCCCAATTTTATCACACGACTAATCGATGACAATGTTATGAAACCGATGACAATGTTGGCAAACCGATGACAATGTTATGA